AGTATTCTATCAACTACTCACCACAGTTAGTGGAATGGGCTGGTTGTAAACAATCGATACGCATATGAGTAGAGATAAGATATCCACGGTAGTAGAGCGGATCTCTTCAGTAGATCGGGGCGAAGGTTGGTACCGCCTCCTGAATATTATTACGCCAACAGTACAGACCACATCCAAACAATAGTCACTGAGAAAGGAGTTAGTTTGGACGCATGCTGCGACCACAGCGTTCTCGCCAGCAACCCGCATCGTGGAAATTGTATGACCGGAGAGTCGTAACAAAACTCTGATTCTCAGAAAGACCTTGGAGAAGGGCCTAAGTGTTTGCCAGCCGTAGTGCGCAATTTGATACCGCACTGGGTCAGACCAGTACGGTATGAACAATTAGTCCGCTGGCTGTTGACGCCTGAGGCAATACCAGCTCTATCACATATAGCATTCTTGCAACAGGAGTCCTCGAATCTCGTCGCGCAGTAGAGGAGGCATGCTGGCGCATGGCTCCGCCGCAAGCGGGGGCGGGGTTCCAGAACTTGCTCGATCCATGTATATGCGGGCGTGGGGCCTCTGGCCAATCGGTTGTTATCGGGACGTGGTAACGAAATGGCCGGGCACGAGGGAGGTGGTATTATTGGCTGTAACGCATGGATCCATGCAACCCGACTAACCGCACATCCGGATGGTCATGGATGGTTCACGCGAATCGTATCGGGGCGGTATCCCGCTTATAACCCAGCGGCAGAGTGGATCCGGGAATGGGGACAGAATAAGAACCGGTGAAGCACGAACAAAAAAAGGCAGGCCAGACCTGCCGGCAGGACAGGTGCATCACAAGCCTCCCCATGTCAGAAGTTATGATTGCTCGCAGGGTTTTTTGGGTACTGGATATTGAGTTCTCCAAATCCTCTATACAATGTCATGGTTTACAAATTGTACTGACTGAGTTCTCTATTAAGACACAGACTGCTGTTGTAGGCGCAATCTCAGAAACTAAGTTTTTCCTTTTGGTTCCACTAATGAACCAGATGCGGATCTCAGGTATAGACCCGTTAACCACAGCTCCAAACTGTCCAAGCAATGTGTGCGAAATCCTCAGTCTTAGTTAAGACCGTATGCACGTACATCTCCGCTGGGAAGAGAGGGGATGTGAGCAGCAACTTCTACACAAAATCTTTCGCAATATTTTGCAAAAAATTGCTGAGATCTTCGCCAATCTCAAACTCGCTACCAGAACTGCAATGTGGAAACTTTGGTCCCACGCGAAAAGTCTGCTTCAGAATCTCTAGGGCAGTAACTTCCACACAAAATTCTCCGCGAATATCTTGCGAGAAATTTGCTGAGGTCATCGCGATTTAAGGGATTAAAGGAACAAGCACTACAGGAATAAAGCTGAAGCAGATTACAGATTTTGAGTTACAAATTACACATACTTCTTTGCGCATTTGTCGTGGCAGAATATCGGACTGCGTAATATCATGACCCAATATCTTGGGCCCATTACCAGGACGTATGATATGGAAAAATTGCTATATTTTCTAGAAGAAACATTTTCGAGAAAAACTTGTACTATGAAGAGAAGAAGCTTTGAGAATGTTGCTTACTTCGAATGAACGGAGTGTAGCATATTCTCATGCTTCGTGTGGAGTTATCCCGCACACTTGTCATTGTCAAACTGTACGCTGGAAATGTTCAGTGTTTTCTTGATCACATTGTCTTTGAAGACCTGTTGTGGGTTTCCGTTGTCGGCTGCTCCAGCATCAGGAATTACATTCTTCAACCGTTCAATGTAAAACTGGCTGTGAGCGTCTTTGCTTGAAAAGTGCTGAGAATCACACGCTATTTCTTACTAGCTGGCATACCCGGCTCCGCCCGGTCCATTCA